AAATGTGTGTTGACAGCTGTCTATCACTTTTTTATTTCTAAAAATAAAATATCAATCTCAGTTTGGATTTGGAATAAAAGTACTCAAGGCCTTTTATGTATTAGTTAAATTTTTTTACAATATTTTCTAAAGACAGTGTTTGCTTTGATAGGAAAATAACTTTTCAACTTCTGATTTAGACAAAAAGAGTAAATCCATAAGCTCCGAGGTAATGGCTGTACCAGGGAAATCTCCAACTGTCAAGAGAGAAGTAAGTAGAATCAGAGGTCTTGACCAAGGTGTTCTTTTCATACTATTCAGATGATAAAGAGTAACACTTCCAAATACTACCTCCACAAACACATATACATGGACACACAACTGCCTTAATTTTACATTACCTTTGGTTGGATTTATGGTGCAAGGAATGGAAAATAAACTTCATGAAGCATCCATTATTATTACTGATTATTTCCTAGGTGCCAGGCTTTAGGCTAAGTGATTGACATCAATAACAAGTCTCTGAGATAAATTAAATACTCTGCCTATTTTTCAGAGGACAAAATTGCCTCAAAGAAATTATGTTGACAATTCACATTCACCAATTAAAAAGTGACCAACTCGAAATACTGTCCTACTTACTGAATGTTGTTCCTGTTGACTGTGTCTTTAGTGGTTGGGAGCTTCACTGGCAGACACTTCCCAGGATTAGCCTCAGAACCCCATTTATCTGCCTTTAAATCAACAGTTTGTCCCTGGTGCCCTGCAGGGCAGTCTCTAGAACACCAGGACTCAGAGGTCATTCTGCAGGCAAGACCAGTTACATACTTTGTGGGGCTCAGAGCAAGATGAAAATGCAGGGCTCCTCATTCAAAAATTACAAAAATTCAAGACATTATAACAGAGCATTAACACAAGCATGGGGTCCCTTGTGGGCAAAGTGGTCTGTGTAATTGCCAGTCATGTGTGCATGAAGCTGGCTCTGACTGCAGGAAATAGAGGCATCTTCAGAGGATCCCGAGCAGGGCCATCTCTTGCATTCTAGTTGGGGAGTGGAGTGGCAGGGGTCTGTCTTCTGGGCATGGCTTCTCCCTCTCCTGTTACAGTCTCTTCTGTGTGTCAACCTAAACTGGAATTTCCCAATTGAGACTCCAATTATGTCTATGCTGATGAGCACAGTGGGAGAGGGAGGTAACCAATCCCAAAGTTAAATCAAGATATTGTCCAATCAAGATATTGTTTAGAACAGTGGTTCTCAAACACTTGTTGTAGACCAAGTCAGACTTTGATGAAGTTTTCTTCTCTCATAAAACAAAAATAAAAAGGGCATGACAGTGAGGTTGTTTTAGGGTATGTTTGCTCATGTCCACAATCAATTTATCCAGAATGGATGCTCCTTTATTCCAAGATTCTTATGATTTGGGCATTAAAATGTTCTATCTCATAAAGAGATGTTATTGATGTACAGTAATTGTTTTTGAATCATCTTCCCTAGCTAAATAAGAAGTTGGATGCTCCGAGGCATGATTCCAAATACTGGGGGATAATTTTCAGGGGTTCATGAAATATAAGCCTGGGAATCCATGGGCCAGAAAGTGAAGAAAAGCAGAGTAGCATGTTAAAAAGAATCCTGGGAGGGGAGATACTCCTTCATCTCACATGGCCACCAATCATGAAGTCTTGGGGGGCTCTTTTCCCTTTTGAGTCTTTGTCCTTAGCTTTGCTTTGAGAGGACTGGGCCAGAGGATTGCTTGCTTCCTCTCGGCTTAGGCATTCTCTAATAACTCAGATGGCATGGCAGTGAGGATTTGGATCACAGAGTCAGTGTGTCCTCTTTATCCATTCCATGGAGAAACAAAGAGAAGACAGTTTAAGGGAATCTGAAGACAGAATCACCACGGAAGCAACCCAACAGCTGCTTGGTAGATGCTGAGACGAGCCCATCATAGAATGTACTATGGTATGTTATAATGGTTGGGATACCAACAAGAAAGTTCTATCTTAAGGACCATTGGCTTAGTCACACAGTGTTTGCCAAATAAGCAGTGGACATCTGCTTATTTTAAAAATTCCTCTTTAATTCTTTCTTTAATATTTCATCCTCTAAAAAATCCCTTAGGATACATTTTGCTTGGTCCATTAAACCTACATTGTCGTTTTGAATGAGGTGCTTTCCAATTGCTTCCTTAATGCATTGAAAAATATAAGGTAATTTACCATTTTAGCATAGAGTCTAAGTCCCTGCTTTGCACATAACAGACACTCTATAACCTTTGAGTAAGATAAATTTTAATAAAAAACATACTTGCACTATGATTCGTTCTATTATAAACACATCTAGCAACCTTCTTTCTTTCTTGTTGTTTTTAAGCTAAACATCCCAGGGGGTCTCTCGGTATAGCTACTGTACAGACTACTTCGTGCTTCTGGAATTGTCAAAACAAACTTAACTGCTCTCAGGAACTCTGATCCAGTATCACTGTCAAAATGTTTTACAATGATTCGGCCAAATGTTTGTGGAACAGCTGGGCTACTCGTCTAACTGAGTCATTTTCCTTCTTTCCTTTTGGCCCATTCCTGTGATTCATCATTCCACTTTTAGAATATTTGCCTATTTTTAAAACCAGTCAAAGAAGACAGCTACGGTTTAAAAGTAAACACCCCACACATCAACTTGGGGCAGCTCTGTGAGCTGCTTCTCGAGCCCTCAAATTCCTGGCAGGCAGGGATGCCAGCTAAACCAGATGGCATGGAGCAGTGAAATGCAGGGTTGGCTTGCAGGCTTGGTAGTCTCCTTACAACTGTCTTTGGTTTTCTTATTTCCGCTGCCATTTCCTGCTTCGGTTAATCCAACTTGATCCATTACTTTAACACAAGGTTTTTATTTTGCTTGTCTCCCAAAACATCTATTATATGTTTATTTTCATGTCAATTAGACTTTCATTTCAACTTAAGAAGTCCAGTATTAAGCCTTCATTTATCTGGAAAATTATCTTTACAGTCACATATAATATACCTTGATGTATGACTATAAATGATGGCATAGATTCAATATTGAACTTCATTAATCCTGGGTCACAGTAGTTATTTTCTATCTATGTTACTACATTAGAAAAAATGAATAATTTTTCCTCCCTTTTTAATAATTAAGCAGGAAGGAGCATGACATTGCAGAAGGCGAGGTGGATTAAGTCTCAGGAAGCATCTGAGTTCCGTTCCTGAATATCTCCTAGAGTTCTAGAATTCTCTGTCTGCATTTGTACTTTACAGAGTGGTTTCTCCTTCCAACAAGTGCCTGCTTGTCTGTGATTATTAGGGTTGGGATGCCAAAACATAATATGTCCTCAATTATCTGTGCCAAATTGTTCTGGCCTTGGACCCAATGAGCTAAAATAATCATGGTGTCTAGGTTTTTAAAATTGTACTGAAATAAATTAAATGCCTCTAAGACCAAAATCGGTTTTACAGAGTATAAATTTCATAATGCAGGCTCTTTCTATAATGGGTCAGCAGTGGCAAGTGGATATTTCTGCCTTTTGTGCAGTTCTCTGCAAGTGATGGAGTGAATTGAAAAGGCCACAGTAATTGGCTAGAATTTGTCACTCCTAGTCTTGATAGGAAGATAGCATTCCAAGAGTCTGTGGATTGAGTCTTCTGTGAAACTAAGTTGCATCAATGAACCTGTGGACATATACTGACTGGCCCAGGTGTGGGTACAAAATGGATTCAAGTGAGGTGGTGCATTGCTTGCTTCGAAGCCATTTCTAAGCAGGAGTATTATTATCCTCTTTACTAAGAAAGAACAAATGCTATTAAGTGACAAGACTCCTGAGGTATCTGGCAGAAGTTAATACTGCCTTTGTTTAAATGATCTTTCTGGTAAGTATCTTCCAGGTCTCCAAAGAGACATATTCCCTTAGAAACTAGGAGTACTTCATGTACTGCATTTTATTTGGGCTGTGCTATCAGTGAGTTGGGAGGGAATAAAATTGGCCTGCTAGACTTGTGAGCTCTTTGTCTGTAGATTCAACTGAGAATGGAAAATGTTTTGTTGTTTTTTTAAAAAAAACTGTCTGTACTGAAGTTGTACATACTCCCCCCACCATTATTCCCCAAACAATACAGTCTAGAAGCTATACATTATTGACATAGCAATTAATTGTAGAATTAGAAGTAACTTAGAGATGATCTAAAGTATATGGAAGGATGTGCTGAAGTTATACATAAATACTACTCCATTCTATAAAGGACTTGAATGTCCTCAGATTTGGTATAATGGGAAGTCCTGGAATGAATCCCTCTTGACATAAATGTACTTGTTTCTTCATTGAATAAAGCCTGTATCATTTCCTCTAGTTCAAAAAGAACACAATCAATTTTTATTAATAAGTTTGGTTATGTTAGTGAGAATATAAAGAGCCATTATCTTTCCTTGATTTATCATAATTTAAAATGGCTTTTTTAAAAAAAATTGTTCTTTTAGTTTGTATTTTGTGGTATTCTCAATAGTCATGTACTAGGGTAGGTACTGGAGAAGGATGGACGATGGCCCCTGAGAGCCAGAGTCGACCTGGAGAGATGGAGGTGCTGTTTACCAAGGGGCTCTTCTCTAGTAACAGGGTGCGATCAGTAGGCTCTTCTTGAAGACATTCTTGGGTAACTTGGGTTTTTTTTTTTTTGGCAGTACTGGGGATTGAACCCAGGCCTTGTGCATCTGAGGCATGTACTCTAACCAACTGAGCTACATCTCCAGCCCCCAGTGACTTGGATATTTGAGGCCATATTTCTTGCAGGTTTTCTCAGATGCTTCTGAGATTGCATTTTTTTAAATATTTCTTTTTTAGTTGTAGTTGGACATAATATCTTTATTTATTTATTTTTATGGTGTTGGTGATGGAACCCAGTGCCTTGCCAGGGCTAGGCGAGCACTCTACTGCCGAGCCACAACCCCAGTCCTGAGACTGCATTTTTTGATCTAGCTAGTCTATTGCCAGTCTGTCCATGTGAGTGCTTCTGGAGAAGGAGGATGGGGCAGCTGAGGACAGTTGCTACAGCTGTCTGGGCTCCAGCTGCCCTGAAACAAGTCTGTGGATTCTGCCTCAGGTGGGGAGGGCTGTCTGGTGTGTGGGTGGCTTGCTGTCCTACCTGCTGTAACCCAGAGCGAGTTCCTGGTGAGCTGCCTGTTGGTGCTGGCTTGTAGTAAGAGCAGAGGGCACAACCATCAATGTTTGTGACGCTTCAGTGCAACTAATGCTTCTGTTTTTCAGTGGAGTGTTCTGCCCCATTTAGGTTGTTCTGGCCACCTCATTAACACCTTGTTAAGCACTTTCCTGCATATCATATGTTTTGGTTTTGGCTAATGTGGGAATTTTGAAAGACAAAGTAGCCCTTATTAATTGTAGAGTTACCAGACAGGATATTGGAGGATCCTGGGTGTGTGTGTGTGTGTGTGTGTGTGTGTGTGTGTGTGTTTTAAATTTAGTCAGTCCAATTAACCTCTCCATGCTTCTACGTGTACATAAAATGAGCAAAATTTCTCTTACATTCTGTCACCACTGAAGTGATGAAAATAACTGAAGCAGTAGATAGTGACAGTTTAACTATAAATACTATATAATACTATATAATACTATATAATACTATTATACTATATAATACTATATAATACTATATTATACTATATAATACTAATACTACAAGGCTGGTCCCAGCAGGGTGACGCTTAAGAGATAAAGGCTCTCTAGTGAAGAATCATTTTATTTTCATGTTTTAGATGATACACCTCCTGAAGACCCTATTCCTTTGGTCTTTCCAGAATTAGACCAGCAGCTGCAGGTAAGTCTTTCTGCTTTCCTTCTTAGTTTTGCAAATGATAGTGAGCAGGGGAATGGCCTAATTGCAAAAGACTGACTTGAACACAGAATGGGAGCTTCCAAGTCCTCAATATTTGCATTGCTGGAGTTCTGAAATCAGGTTGAAGCCCTCAGGGAGTACCCTGGCTAGGTACCCAGACATCAAATGCTTATAGTATAATCAAACTCCTATTTTCAGGAGTTCTGGAATCTGGAAAAGAGATTGGTTCCTGCCCCTCTTTGCTATGAGATTTCTCTGGGCCATTAGGATTTTGGCCCTGTTTGAGGCTAATATTTAACAATAAACTCTGCAAAGAAAATTTGTCATGGTTTCCAGGACTTTGAAATAATCTTTCTTGCTCTACTGCCTGCCCCTCCCCAGTTCTCTGAAAACTTTTAGTGGAATATAATCATTGTGAATTAAACCTTCTGAAAACCTTGGTTTGATCCACAAGAAAAATAATTTGTAGCCAGGTACAGTGGCGCACGCCTCTAGTATTCCCAGCTACTTGAGAGGCTGAGGCAGGAGGATCACAAGTTCAAAGCCAGCCACAGCAACTTAGTGAGATCCTAAGCAACTTAGTGAGGCCTCAAAAATACATACATATATACATATAAATAGGATTGGGGATGTAGGACCCCTGGGTTAAATCCCCAGTACCAAAAAAAAAAAAAAAAAATTGTGTGTATGTATGGTTTCCGGATGATCTTTTAAAAGATTTCTCATTTGAATACACCAGAGTTTTTTTTTTTTTTTTTCTTTTAGGAGATATTCATGACATTTTAAAATTTCTTTGGATGCTATATGGTGATTTTTGGCAAAGATGATTTTAGAAAGAGGTTCTGCCTAAAATACCTGGATGCCAAGCTTGGGTCAGTCCTTCACTTGAGTACTTAACTTTGAGTACTTAACTTGGATATTTGAGGCCATATTTCTGTCAGGTTTTCTCAGATGCTTCTGAGTTTGCAATTTTTTTTTAATATTTATTTTTTAGTTGTAGTTGGACATAATATCTTTATTTATTTATTTTTATGTGGTGTTGGTCATCGAGAATTTAGGCAAAACTAATAAAGATCTTAAATTCTTCACACAGATGTTTTGCTTGTCCACCACCTTTTCCTCCTAATTATGGATTCTAAAAGCCTCTAGGGAGGGATCTGAAATCTTTAGCTTCCAACAGACCCTGACATGCTGTACTATAGGATGAGTATCCCTTATCCAAAATGCTTGGGAACAGAAGTATTTTGGATTTTAAAAAATTTTTTTGAAACATTTGCATATATATGCATATGCATATTTGCATATGTGTGTGTATACATACACAAACATACTTGTGGATGGAACCTGTTTCTAAACATGAAATTCATTGAGGTTTCATATACACCTTATGCAGATAGATAGTTTTGTACAGTGTTTTTAGTGCACCTGTGTTTTGACTGTGACCTATCACAGAGATGAAGTGTGGAATTTTTCACTGGTGACATTATATCTGCACTCAAGAAGTTTTGGGTTTTGGAGCATTGGGATTTTCAGGTTAGGGATGCTCAAACTGTATCTTATACTCAGTAGTTTTTTCCAATTGTGGGTGTGCCTGGTGTCCTAAAGTCATTTGAGCTTGGGACTTCTGATCCAGGACAGACTTTGGTGGAGATAGAAAGAACCAAGAATGGGCCCATATTCCACCCAACACAGTGTTCTTTTCTGTTTGCTTCAGTTCTTATCACCTTGCCAGGTGCACAGGGTCATTAAAAGCCTTGGAAGCAACTAGGTTATGTTGGAAGAGATGGTGTTCCAACTTCTGGGGTGCTCTCTAAAAACCAACCCAGAGCAACTCAGGCTCTGGGAGGAGCCCACATTGTCATGTCTCCAGCAGTTCTGGGCATGGCAGCAATCTACTACCGGCCCATTGGTTCAACAGAGTACTCTCATGGGGGAATAAATGATGATTGTAGAGGAGGTGGGAGGGTTACAGTGATTACCACACAGCTGTCAAAACACAGCTTCCTAATCCCTAAAATTTCCTCTCTAGCTGCCAGTCATCTTATCTCCCTCTTCCTTGGTCCTCCACGCTTCTTTGACCCAGCTCTCCTGGTTCCTGACATCTGATTTCCCTTCCTCCCTCCACCAATATGTCCTCTTCTTTTCAGCATAGAGAGCTCCTCAGCTTCCCTGTGCTCACACTGCATGCCATGCTGCTTGCTTAGTCTGTAAGCTGCTGCTGGTGCAGTTGGGATTGTAAAATAATAACACTTTTCCCCCACTTACTACTTTTCCCTTTTATATTATTATTGCAAAGCTATTTTATCATCGTGGAAATTAGATGAAAATAAAAGTAAACATATTTTGAAAATAAAAAATGAAAGCATATTCAAGATCTTGTTCCTACATCAAATTATGGATTGTGAATTTTACTTTTTTTTTGTATTGGAAGAAACATTTTTTTCCCCCATTGGGAGCTTTAATGATTTACCCTGGTCTGTGGAACATTCTCCACAGGATTCTCAGTACCCCTGACAATTATCCAGATAAAATTTCTGTTAAAGCATCACTAAGTCCATTCGAATTTTATAGCTTTAATTCTACCTGACATGTATTAGAAATTAAAACTATTTAATTATTTTACTCCAATGAGATGATTTCATCTTCATTGGTCTTTAATGAGGCAGGGAATTGACAGGATGCTTTCTAGCTCAGAGGTCTTTGTATTTTTTTCCCCTTTAAATATAGAATTTGTTTTCCTTTTCCTTAGCAGACAGAACCTTCTCAGCCTTCCAACTAAACACATTTAAATAAGTGTATGTTTATTGAGTGAAGGGTGTGATTGGATTTGTTACAAACATTCCCTGAGTTATTAGTACACTTGGTTAAATTTGTCTTTGTCTAGAGTTGCTGCCTGTAACCTTTACTCTACACTCTGGGGCATGAGTAAAAAAAAAAAAAAAAAAGCAAGACAGCATGGACTGAGACAGAAAAACTAACAACTAACAGAAAAATGACACCTAAAAGCAGATTCTTCCTTCTGTGTTAAGCACATGCATTTAAGCCATTCTGCAGCAGGAAGTCTGTTTTGAAAGCAATGAAAATGCTTTGTGTACAAAGGGAATAACCCATTACAAGAAGAAGGCCGCCTTTATGGGCAGTCTCACGGGCTTTCACTGCACAATTATGGTTCTTGGAATTTTTTACTACCACAATCCATTATGGAAGAATAAAAGTTGGGTTGCAAAGGCACATAAAATACCTTGTGGGTGTCACTATTTGAGAATGGACTGCCTCTGTTGAAGCCTTAAAAACTTGCCTATTAAAAAATGGATGTTGTCAGGAGATTATTGCGTGCCCTACATTCTGCAATCTCTCAAACTTAAATTCCCCCAGTATATGAGTGCCTGCTCAGTAAAGGGTGTTTCCCTACAAATAATCATATATATATATACTTTGTAATTTTTTTTAATTTAAAATTTTTAAATTATTTATATATGAGAGCAGAATGCATTACAATTCTTATTACACACACAGAGCACAATTTTTCATATCTCTGGTTGTATACACAGTATATTCACACCAATTCATATCTTCATACATGTACTTTGGATAATAATGATCATCACATTCCACCATCATTAATAACCCATGCCCCCTCCCTTCCCCTCAAACCCTCTGACCTATCTAGAGTTTGTCTATTCCTCCCATGCTCCCCCTCCCTCCCCCCACTATGAATCAGCCTCCTTTCATCAAAGAAAACATTCGGCATTTGTTTTTTTTGGGGGGGGATTACAATCTTACTTGATCCTTGCAATAACTGCATAAACTACTATGTGTCCACTTACAGATGAGAAACTTGAGGCCAAATTTTGGTCTAAAATAAATTTCCTAGTCCCCACTTTTCCTTAATACTTTTTGTGGAATGAATGGGCTGCTCGAATTACTTTGATAGGTGGAGGTTTTCTTGTATTTGGTTGCCATGGTAGTTCTGGAACAGTCTTGTAAAATTTGTTCTGACTTTCTGATATCCAGTGCACATTCCTTGGTAATTTATAAAGTGTAGCTATAAAATATCCATTTGGTAGATACTTTATCACCGATTTGACCCCCAAGATTTTTCTGTTGCTTTGCCAAGAATGTGGACATGTTTGAGCATGTAATTCATGGTACTTCTATTTTCACAAAGCCAAAAAAAGCCCTGTGCAAGAATAGCAGTGACAAACATTTCTCTTGATGTCTCTATTAATGCAAAATGTTGGGCAAGAGATCTCAGGGTAAGGTAGGTGTTAAAGCGAGCATCTCTTTATAATATTCACTTGTGGGCCTTGGGCCTCTGCCCAAGGGCAGGTGGAAGGTTAATCTTACTTTGTGCAGATTCCTTTCTTGGGACTAGATTTCTAAATTTCCTATGCCTATGCAGGACAGTATTTTGGTAGAGCTTTAGATCATACAGTTAGTAGAAATAAGGCCCAATTCTATGTACCCTTTAGGGATAAATGAAAAATTCTTACTTTTCTTCAAATTTCAGTTTTCTTCTATTTGGAAAAGAAGTAATGACTGACCTCTCTCAGCACTGAAAGATGGTAGAATCCTTAAACAGTTCCAGGTTTTGGGTCAAAAGTAAGACTGTTTCACACCTTGGTAATATTATGATGTTTGGAAACTCTTGCTTAGATCAAAAGTATGCTATCATGACCCAAAGCTATGCTATAATGTAGTATTAATTATATTGAAATGAGGAATATAGTTTTATAATCAGGCAAAAGATATGACATCAAGTAAGTTACAATAAACATTCTAAAAAACATGGTTATTAGCATAGATTGATGTGGGTTTGATCTCAGCTCCACAGTAGATTTGTGATTTGGGGCATGCTATTTATTCTTGCCAACCCTTACTTTTCCTAACTGCAAAGTGGAGATAACAGTATCTTTCTTAAATTGTTGTGGGAATTAAATATGGTAATGAGTAGATCTAGCACAGTCTGGCAAAATAAGTGC